GGAGTCGCGGGGCGATCCTGCGGCTGCCTAGGCAGAAAAAGCACGCGAGGCCCGCAGCTCCCCGCGCCTCCCAATTACTTCTGCCTGAACACGTGTCCGACTGCACCCCAGGGCCGCTCTCCCGGGGCACTTTCCGGGGGGCTTCCCCGCACACCGCGGGGCCGACTTCGGGGAAAGCGTGCCTAGATCGCGCCCCGGAACACCCGCGCCCCGGCCCCCTCCCGATCCATCCTCCCGCCCAGCGGGAGGGCGCCGAGTCCGCTCTGGCGACGGAGGATCCCCCGGCCGGTCGCCTCTTTCGGCGCCCGGGGCTCCGATTCCGGCGAACCACCCGGAACGCTTCGCCGGACGGGCGGGATGCCCCCCGTCGCGGCTGCGGCCCGCGCCCCCAAACTGCCCCCCACTTACTAGGCAGGGGGGACGCATACTAAGTCGGAGCCGCCCCGTCCCGCCGCCGCCGCCCCAGGGCCGGCCACCTCGCGCGCGGCCGCCTAACCGTCTCCCAACCGCCGTTCCAAAGAAGGCCGCGCCGCGCCGGGCCGGGCCCCCCCCCCCCCCCCCCACGCGCGCCTCGCGGCCTGGAGGGAAGGGAAGGGCCCCGCTCCGAGGCGCTCCCGCGCGCCACGCCGGAGAGGAGCCGAGGCCCTGCGCGGCCGCCCGGGAGGGCCTGCCCCGCGCCGGCGCTCCCTTCCCGCCACCTTTGTGCGCGATCCCCCGCCGCACGCACGCACGCACGCACGCGGGGCGCCCGGCCTCGCCTCGCCCCGCGCCCGGCTACCTTCCGGATGCGTCTGCGCTCGGCTCGTGCGGTCCGATCGGCCCCTCCTCGCGCGCTCGGGCTCTCCCCACCTCCTCGCCTCTCACAGCGCGGGCTGGGCGGGCTGGGCTGGGAAGATGGCGGAAGCGCGGCCGTTCAAATAGCCGTAAAAGAAGGGACGGGGGGAGGCGGGCGGACTTATGACGTCAGGGCGACCGCGCGAGCAGCTGGCGCGCACGCGCACGCGCGGCTGGGCGGGGCGCGGCGGCGAGCGGAGGCGGCCCGATTGGGCTGCTGGGGGCAGCGGGAGCGCGTGGCGGGGGCCGGGGGGAGGGGCTCGCCGCGGCCGCCCGCCGCGCGCTGGAGCGCGCGCACAGAGCCGAGCAGGCAGTGGAGCGAGCGCAGGAGCGCAGGCTCGAGGTCACATGACGGTGGAGGGGAGCGCGCGGCCGGCGGGGAAGAGAAGGGGCGCGCCCGTCCGCGCGAGGCAGGGCCGTGCGCGCATGCGCCTCCTATGCAGAACGGGTGGAAGCGGCGCGCGCGCCTCGCCGCCGCCAGCGGCCGCTCTGGCCCACTCTCTGTGGTGCGGCGGCCTCCTCGAGGGGGGCTCTGGCGGGAAAACGCGCCCGCCCGCCCGCCCGGGCGGCCTCCGGGAGGCCCCTTCCCCAACCTGGCGCCGTCTCTCGTGAGTCGGACTGCAACTCCCATCGTGGCCCTGCCGGCTGCGGGTGATGGGCGGGCGATCAAACCTCTCCATAGCTGGAGCATCCTTTTGGGAGGACCTTGCCTCTACACAGCCAATCTTTTGTTTGTTTGTTTAAGGCTTTTATATACCTCCCATCTCTAAAATGTCCCAGGGTTATATGATTTTGCTTCTCTGCCGTCCAGGAGATGAAGCTTTTGGGGCAGTTCACAACAATTCACGACATCACAAATAGAAAACAGATATTAAAATGGTTCATTATAATTTGTTTAGATTAGAAAATGTAATGGATTTGTGTTCTGATTTGCCTTCATTTGCTTCTCGGCGCAATCCTATTTAAATGCTTAATTGAGTGGAGCTTAATCCCAAGAAAGGGGGTGTAGCATTGCAGCCAGAATCCTACTTTTATGTTCATGAGTCATTTTGCCAAATCCCACTGAGCTCCATGGGACTGCAGTGCAATTTGTGAACTTTACTGCCCGAATAACAACCTTGTAAACTTTATAAAGCTCTGTATTTAAGATAACTTGCTCACTGTCTGGAGTTTGTAAAGTTTTTGGCCTTTCCTTGAATCCCTCATATTTGTTTAATGGTTGCTACACAAGATCATATACATCCTGGCATTGGACTACAAGGTAGGACCATTCCCAGAGACAAACCAAGAACATAATCTATGTTTGCAGCATGCTTCCTGCACTTAATAGTATATGTCTAGATAATCCATAACAACTGATTTATTTCACTTTTGTTCAGTCAGTGTTTAATATGTAGTTGTTTTGAAGGCTCCAAGCCTACAAATACCTTTTCAAAAAAGTGCAGGTGCCTGCCAGACCTGATGTTGCTATTTTAAAGATGCAAGCTTCCTCAACCTGCTGCCCTATGTCTCTTTTGGGCCACAATTCCCAGCATTCCTTGATCGGTGGCCTTTCCTGCTGGAGCTGATGGGAGTTGACGTCCAAAGGATCTGGATGTTACCAGGTTGGGGAAAGCAGATGTTGTCTGGCTTGAAGAATCCTTGCTGCCTCTAACAAAATACATCTCTGAAGCATCCGTTATCTTTTGCAACCTTTAAGTATATCACAGTAAAGGACACATAGATGCATTCTTCTGCTGTGGTGATCTTCCATGTAAATATTTTGCAGCCTAAAGTACAGACCATATGCAACTTATCTGAGGCTACCGTGAAGAGTGTCTGGACACTTCAACAGAGGAATGTGTGGCAGCCAGGCTGCTGAAAGGTGTGTAAGATCAGAACCGTATTATACCTGTCCTGAAGATAATTGCCAGAGTCTTTCCAGACTCAGTTCAAGCTGATAGTATTAACCTTTAAGCCTTAACAAGCTGCCTACGATAGGGCCCTAGATGGCCTTTAAAAGGGGTGCAGGTAGGTGGTTTTTCCATTAAGATTTTTTAAATATGTAGCTTTTACCGTTCTTACTGTTTTCCATATTTTTGGGTTTGGTTACATAGTTTTGTTGTTTTTAAATGATCATTTCCTGCCTTGTTTATTCTATATCTGCCAAACAACAACTATTGTGTTGTCTCCTTTGTCCTGTTTCTAACACTGAAAGGAGGACATAGATTCCCCTTAAAATTGTGTCCAAGGATCCTTTATTTAAATGGTTCTGAGCTGACTTTCTAGGGTAGCCAGAATTGTACTGACCGCAACTGAACTTTGAGATATGCAGGCCTTTTCTGCCATTATGGTATGGCCTTGTGGAAACATTATTTAATTTCTTGGATTTGTTATGTTGTAGCATTCTCATGGATTCAGCTTCAATAACAAATTTGATGTGGGTTATATTTCAGGTTATGTAAATACAAGATAAATGTGCCTTTCAGCTCCTGGGAATTCTTCAGTTAACCTCTAGGGGTCAGGGAGGATGTTCAGGTGACGCTTCATACTCTGTCTCTACAGATTTACTGAATGCTGTAATAGCAGATCTATGTAATATCAAGCTTTCGTTACCCTCTCTCTGCATTTCAGCCTTTGTCTTTCTGAGCTGCAAGTCTTCAGTCCCCCAAAACCTGGTCTGAGAAAAGTGCAAAACTCTCCTTATCCTGTAGCACAATTTATTTGATTTCATTCAATAGGTTCTACTTCTTCTAGGGCATTTTTCAGGTTTTAACTTAGTTAAAAGGTGTAGAAGGCTTGCCAATTCAATCCTGAAAACCCCAAAGCAAAGTCCATCAACTGTTCTGGTTCACTGGGGGCTTCCTGAGAGATCTCTGAGCTCTCACATATTTTGTTGTTCCTGCAGCAAATACAGCAGTTCCTCGTGTCTTCTTATCACAGCCCACTGGTTCAGCAATTCCGATGCTGCAGACACTGTGAAGAAGAAGAAAGCAATGTGGCATGCTGCTTGACCTCCCAGGGTCACTGCTTTTGAAGATGCATTTAGAAAGCTGGCCTGGATTCCGCTTCTTTGCTGAGGGAGCTGTCCTAACAGCCTGCCTGTTCACTAGTGAGCAGGTGTCAGGTTTGGGTGCTGGCATGTGAAGCCCTAAACAACTTAGGACCATGACATCTGAAAAACTGCCTGCTCCATTACCTTGACCCCAGGAAGGTGCTTGGAGAGGACTGAGGTCTGGCAGCCAGACCTGTGCATTTGCAATAGGATGGAAATAAACCCTTCTGAATATAGTTGCTTCTCCCAGCTCTAACCCTGTGCAATGGATGTTTACTCCAGAATAAACCCTCATTGAGTTAAAAGGGGATCACTCAAGGAATCATATATGAATCTATGATAAACCAGAGAGAGGGAAAGAATTTCCTGCTGCCTCTCATGGTAGGACTCTGGACCATCCCACAAAACTGAATGGTGCAAGAGGAAAGCCAGGTAAATGGCTTCCCACTTCTTCCCACCACAGACGAGCTATTTGGATGGGTTTGAAAAGGGATCTGGCAACCAGGGAGCGTATGTTATGCATGCTGAGGCAGGCAAAAGCCCCCTGTCTCCCTGCATCCCCCAGCCGGCTCAGGTGCTAAGAGGCAGCGTGCTTATGTTCAGTGCAGTGGTTGGAGCCTTGGCCTGGGGCACAGAGGATTGGGGTTCTCCCCTGGTCAGCAGCAAAGCTCACTGCGTGACTTGGAGCCAATGCTGACTCGGAGCCAAACCTACCTCGCAGGGCTCTTATGAGGATGCGGCAGATGACAGGCAACGATTTAAGCTTCCTTGGGGGCTCCCAGCCGGGATCGAAGTCGGATGAACCGACGAAGAAGCGCCGGCCCCCCCAGTGACACGGGGGTCCTCCCGGCCAGGCGCGCGATTTGCATGGCCACGCCCCTGTTTTGCATGCGGCCCGCCCCTCGCTGGTCCTGGCTCCGGCTGCGGAGCGAGGGACGGCAGGCGGCGCATGCGCCTCTCGCGGCCGAGAGGCGGTGGTTGCCTGGCATCGTAGCCGAGGGAGGCTTTGCGGTTACAGCCCGCGAGGGACGCACGGACGGACGGACGGGGCGACTCGGTCCCGACGAGCCGGCCGCGGCCTGAGGAGCGGAAGCGCCCGGCGTGGGGAGGGCCGGGCCGGTCGGGCTCGCCCCGCCGCCTCCTGCCTCCTTCCGCCGGGATGAGGGACCGCCTGGCCGAGCTGGCAGCGGTGAGGGGCGCCGGCGGAGGGCGGGTGGGCCGGGGCGGGAACAGCCGGGGGGGAGGCCGGCGGGAGGAAGCGCCGCCCGCGGCAGGAGCGGCCCGCGGGCGCCCGGGCTTGCCTCCGGTCCGGCGCCCGCGGGCACTGCGCTCCGCGCCTTGTTCTGCGCTGTGCCAGGACGGGCTGCGCCTCCCCGGCACGGGACCCCAGGCGGCCGCGCCTTGCCGCTTCATGAAGCCGAGCCGCTTCGAAAATGCGGGTCGCCGCATTCCGTCCGTGGGTTGCATGCCTCAAACCCGAAGACGATCCCCCTACTTGCGCAAGGCATTCGGTGGTGGTCCCAGGTTGCTGCGTTTATTTATTTATTTATATTTCTATACCGCCCGTAGCCCTCAGGGCTCTCTGAGCGGTTTACAGCCATGGAAATAACATAGGCAAACATTTTGAATGTAAAGATTTCGTGCCACTGATGTGCAGGAGACCTGGTTTTCCCAGGCACCTTAGTCGGTCCGTTTCTGGTACTGTTTCAACAGGTTGCTGTATTTTGCGTTGTGTGCACGTGCTGTGTGTCTGTGCATCCTTATGTGAAGAAGACCAGCTTATTTTCTCTCTCTTGCTCTTAAAATCAGTGGCTTCATTTGAAATCTGCTCTGCTGCTCTGTTTTACGCTGCCTTTTAGTTTTCTTCTGGGTTTTACTCTGTAGTTTTCAACTTTTAATGTTTGGTTTTATCATGTTGTAATTTTGATGGTTTTAATTGTTGGGAACTGGCCAGGGTGCTTCAGCTGTTGGGCCAAATAGAAATGTAATAAAATAAATAAAGAATATAGTCTGCTTGGGATTCACCTCTGGAATGTTTAAGAAGCAAGCAGCCTGCAAACATACATCTAAACACTGAAAATGATCTAAATCCCCCAAATTCCAAAAAGAATTGCATGTATACAAACACACTCAATTTAGATAAGATGTTTTTAGGAAGACTATTCTAGTGTATGAGTGAGACAGTCTTTAAAACAAAGGATCTTATTTGAAGTGTGTGCATTTCCAAAATGTTATGTATTGATTTTCTTTTCCAAATGAACATCTGAAGTGGTCATAAAAGTAAAACAGCACACAAAAAACTAGTACAGCAATGCAGCTTACATGATTCTCCTCCTCTCAATCTTATCCTCACAACAACAACCCTGTAAGGTAGGTTGGCCTGAGAGTCTGTGGCTCTCAAGTCACCCAGAATGGAGACTAGAACCTGGATGTCCTGAGTCCCAGTCCTACAGTCTTAACCACTACACCACACCAGCTGTCTGCCAACATACCTAGAAGCATGAAGTTTGTGGCACGAAGGGTTCAAAAGCACGCTACAATCATGCCCAGGATATCTGGCACAATAAATCGGCACAGAGATTGAATGCTGGCATGATCTCTAAGAAAAAGCAGGCTGCGCTGTTTTGGTCTCATGGGGTTTATGCAGCTGTTTTTAAGAACAGATAATGCAAATTTTTATAGAACAGATAATGCAAATAAGACCATTTCTCTCAATGGCTGTGAAAACTTGCCTGGTCATATTATTTGCAATAAGCAGGGAGTGGTATCTTTGAATAAGCAGGGAGTGGGGGACTCAGTGACAAGGAGCGAAGTGTGACAAGAGGTGGATGGAACATGGGCATCAGGCTTGGGCTGGCCAAGCAGACAGTGGGGCTGATGGGAAGAGGATGGCTAGGAATGAGTTTCGGATGGGCTGGAAGAAGGAGCAATGCTGGAAATTCGTACAGGCTGTTGAGTGGCTCCGCGATGGGAAGGTGCGTGAAAGGTGGGTTGCGCTCTGGAGGGCTACGGCTACCCGCGGGGCGTGGCATCAAGATGACCCTGAAGCCATGGGCCCAGTATGTTAAGTTAGTTTGGGGGAGTTGACACTGTCGGCTTGTAAATGGGTTGGAGGTGCAGTGAGGGTGGGGGGCTTGAATTCTGGGCCAGCCCTGCCCCGTTGATTTGACGTGTGCTCAAAGATGGTGTGTGAGGAACTCTTCCTTGCTGTGTAGCCTGTCAGTGAAAGAGAAAGAGGATTACGCCGATGCAGGAAGCAGAATCCAGCTTGGGCTGGGCTGCTGCTTCCACGACAGGCTTTGGGATGGTCTGGACCGGAGATGCAGGAAAAAACACAGGAAGTGCGGGTCAGGAAGGGCTGCCCCACAGCAAGGATAGCATTCGAAAGGAAAAGCAACTGGAGCTCTTCAAATATGGACAGGACGGCAAACTCATTGTTGGCTCAGGCTTGGTCAGATCCTGTGCCCACTTCACTGCCAGTTAGAAGACAGCTTGTGTACATGTAAACGCTCCCACTGTCCCTTACCTTTTTCTTCCTTTTGACCCTTTTTGTGCTCAAAATCTATATTGTACCACAGGATTGGTCCTTTGGGAGAAGGGCTTGGTCTGATGGCTTCTGGTTTCGGTTTTCCCCACACATCATCGTATGCATCAGGGGTGTTGAAACTCTTTCTCCTGCGGGCCAAATTCCATTTCAGAGGAGCGCTCAAGGCCTGCATTCCCATGCCAAGAAATCAGTAAGACCCAAAATTGTATATTTCAGCTTAATGCTCAACCTGCCAGTCACTAGCCATTTCCACAGAATGCCTGAAAAATGGACAAAAGACAGGAAGCCACCAAAGGTTTGGGGTGGGAAGGGGGGAATGAAGACTGTGTGGTTGTCCCGAGAAACCCAGAGGACTGGGCTGGGACCACAGAGGGCCATCTTTGGCCCCCGTCCCTAATGTTCTGCACCGCTGTTTATAGCAGCGCACGATCCCTGTATTGGCCGCAGTAGAGAAATTACTGCCCAGAGAGTTTCAGCTGTGGGGTGGTATAGAAGTGAGATAAAAAACTAAAGAACAGCAGCAGCAGCAGCAGCAGTAACTCATCCTGCCAGCTAGGAAATATATTTCAAAAAATGCTGAGTGGAAGAGTATTTTTTTTCCCTGCATCTCTTCATTAACTTAACATCTCTTCCATTTTAGGACCCTGTTTCTTATATTTCTATACCGCTCAATAGTTGAAGCTTTCTGGATCACTTGCAACAATTAGAACCATAAAATATGACTTGATAATGTATAGTACGCATTTTAAAAATGTGATATACAATTAAAAAACCCCCAAATAATGCCTAGCTGCCATTTTGCTAAAGGTTTGTATGCAAACAATTGAACCAGACATAACATAGCAATATATTTTGATATATCTGCAGCTCTGTCTTCAAGCATTGTGTGTGGGTGTGGAGATATATATATATATATATATATATATATATATATATATATATTGCATATATGCTTTTCCTTCCACCTATTCTTATCTCTTCCTGATGCAAGAAGCTGAAAGGGAAAGGGAGGTGTCAGGGGTGATTATGTCTTTTGTTTGACTTCAGTGGCTTTGACATGAGAAAAAAAAAACAACCTACAGTTTATTACAAAGAAGGGAAATGGGGTTTAAAAAAAGATTTTCAAGATGCATTTTCTTGTGTCTGAGATTGAAGAGAGCCTGCATGGCGATAAAAAGCTCCTGAAAAGGCCCAAATCCATGGACACGTGCTTGCACATTTCTGCCTTCAGCCAGCAGATTGGCTTCTGGATCTGTATTAAATGCAAGATAATATTAAACTATGCAAGGCAGACCTTTGTAACTCAGCTTCTCCTAGATGACCGGGTGGCAGTCTTTGGTCAGCTAGGGCCAAGTCATGGAGAAGAAGATTAACTCTGGCTCCTAGGTGTTAACCTGTGGCTCCTCTCAGGCTTGTGTACAGCAGTTGCTGGGGAACATGGGTCGCAGGGTGCGTTGCACTGGCGTCCTGCTTGTGGGCTTCCTGTAAGCAACTGGTGGGCCGGTGTGTGAAGAGAATGCTGAACCTGAGGGGCCTTGGCCTGATCCAGTCTGATCTCTTGGTTGTTTTTATGAAACCTTGTATGCTACTTTGAGTAGCACTTCTGCATCAAAAGAGCGGGATAGAAAAGTTTGGCTAAAACTACCTTGCAAACTTGGCCACGATTGTTCCTGTTTTAGATACAGTGGAAGAGGGGTGTAGTTCCATCAGAAAATTCATGCTGTGTGCTCAGAAAGTCCTGGGTTTAGGGACTAACACAGATGGTTAAGGCCTGGAAAACTCGCCTGGAGCGAAACAGCCCATGGGTGATGCCAGTTCTAGGGCTGATGAATCAATGTTACGCCATTGTTATGCAGTGCTGAATAACAGTTGGCCTTCTTACATATACATGGCTATATTCTTTACTCATGAAGATTGCTTAGTGACTCTCGTAATACGCCAAGGCCAAAAGATGGGTAAGGAAGTTGTGCTCAACGTCTTTGCAATTCATGCTAAAAGAAGCACTGAAAAGAGTAGGGAAGTGCAGTCCTTTGCTTTAGAGTGATACCCTCCTGTTTCACAGTGCTTTAATTGCAGGAGGAAGTAGCCAAAGTAACTATGGGATACTCCCATGTGGCTTGGCTGAATGTGTCCTTGGCAAAGCCAGCGCTGTGCACTCGTGTTCCTAAGGGGTGCGTGAAGAGAAGGAAGGGATGCCACCTTGACTCCCAGGCCACACAGGTGTCTGTTCCTGTCTTAAGACACCTGAACGTGGGCTGTGTGTTTGCGAGAACTGACCATTTTGGGACCTGCTTATGGAATTTTGCTTGGAGCATTTCTTCTTTTGGAAATAGACACGAAGAGCTATGTTTTCTCAAATTCTGGGTGCCTGGAATCTGATCTTTAAATAGCCAATTTTTACTTTAAGCCTGGGTCGGACACGACGTTGCCACTAAACAACAACAATTCTTGTTAAAACTGTCATTCTCCTGGAGCATTTTGTAACTCTACCAAGCAAAGAAAAAGTAACTCTTGTGAAATCTTGAATCAATGTAACCTTAAGCATGTTTACTTGAAAATAAATTCTTCTGATTAAGACTTGTTTCCTAGTAAGTGTGCATAGGTTTAGATACACAGCTAGGAAGAGATTAATTGGGGGAAAAAATCTTACAGTATTCTCTTAAGACTGAATAGGAAAGTTCTTGGTGTATAAATATTTCCGCTCCATGTCTGTTATCGTGCCAGAAGCTTGTTCTGTGTCTCTCCAGTGAGTCATAAGAGTACAGGAGAGTGGTTCTGGTTTATCCTGAAGGAGAGACGATCCACGATTTATTTTATCAACATCTTTTTAAGTGCAGGCCAATGGAAAACGTAGCTTTTTCAGTAAACGTGGCAGCTAGGCAGGGATAAAATGTCAGCTGGTCCTATACCTGTCCATAAATATTATTGCTTGATAACTAGGTGTGGACATTTTTATCTCAAGGTTTTATCTCAGCAGTTTCATACTTTTAATGGATGCATTCGAATAACAGAATATCCCCCCACTTTTCTTTTTAGCATACCCAAAATGAAGATGGTGAGGCCACTGTTCTTGTTGAAAATGACCATTACATGGAAGAGTTCTTCCAACAGGTAAAATGCATGCCTAGTATAACCGAGAAGCAGCCAAGTATAAGAATGGCTGTCTCTGTTCTGGTCACTGCCTGGTCTGCCTCAAAGGAGGTCCATCCGGTCTGCCCAAAACCCTGGGATGAGGCTGATGCAGCTCTTGTGACCCACATCATGATATACCCTCAGGCTACAATTCCCATGGAAGCCGGTAGCTCAGTTGGTGGGGTGTGCACAACTGTTAAATGAACAGGATTAGAATCCTTTGCTAATACAGTCTTAAGGCAACTGCTAAATCCTTCTGGATTGGCATAAAAATCTCATCCTGAGGTTGAACAACAAACAAATGGTTTCCTATTTTCTACGTATTATTTAAATTGGGTAAAATGAAGGGGAGAATGACCATATAAACCACTTTGGCTAGTTAAAAGAGGGGGGAAAGGCAAAATGTAACAGTCATAAATAAATGTTATTTGAAACGTTTGAATCCTCTAATGTTGCTGACATTCAGGAAGCAATAATTTGCTACAGATATAAGATGTTGGGTCCAAAGCTGTTGATCATACTTTGATCCCATTGAAATCAACATGAACAGCTGCTTATGGCTCACATGTCATTTTGAAGGCAATAGTGACTGGGTGTGGATGATGGTGAGGGTGATGGCGGCAGTGCAGAGCAGAACAGAAGTGCTGAAGCTCTTTCAGTCTGAGGGCCAAATCCTATTTGGAAACTCTTATGGGGACCTCATTGCAATGGGGTGGGAGCAAGATCCCAAACATACCAGCCTGTTTTAGCTTATATGCCTCATTTCTAGTAAATACTCATTGAGAGAAGCATTTCAGCCTTTTAGAATGGGGGGAAATAACACACGACAGCCAGAAAGCCGCTAAGCAAATGGTCAGGGAAATGTTGTAGGGCATGGCCATCCAGGGAAACCCAGGTGGCCGAGTTTGGCTCTAGGTTCCAAGGCTCAGCTACTGCCCGATCGATCGAAATGAACCACTCCTCAGTCTTTTGACCCTGCATCAGGGTGTGTCTGGATTACCTGGCAACTAAAAAATGGGGGGGGGGGCGGTTTGCTGCTAGTGCTGAAGTTCAGACAGTTCAATAACCCACACTGAAAGGCTGTCATTAAACCCAAGATGGAGCATCAGTAAACTGTGGGTTGTAGAAACGTATCTGCACCCAGCCAAGATAACAAGCCATGATAACCAACTCACAGTTTATAATTCAGCAACCCTTCCTGAATTGTTCTCCATTAACAAGCCATGATCTGTTAGCACAGCTCAGTTTAGAGAACAAAACAAGCCATGTTGCAGCCACAACCCGCACCGAAGCCAGTCAAGGTGACGTCTTTCTGCTACATGCAGGAAGCTTTTAAAATGCATGGCAGTTGAACTTTTGCAGAAGGTCATAGCGAGTGACAATTAGCACGTGAAGCTGGAGCAGCAGCTCTTTGCTGTAATAAGTCTCCCAGGAAGCTCTAGGTGTTATCTCTTGCAGGCACAGGCTCTGCCACAGGGCTGAGAGCTCACACACCGCCACTCCCCGCTGCAGAGCTGTGCAGGCAGCCAAGTGCTTCTTGCTGATCGGCTTCACTGGTGCCATTTGGGGCAATATTTTGCAGGCTTTTTCGCTTCCCTGGGCCCCTTTTCTGTGGATAATGTCAGAAGGACCCACCAGCTCCTAGCCCAATCCTCTATGAAATCTAATTTTAAACTAGCAATTGGTATTAACACTCTTCAAAGAAAAAAAATGTTTTCAGGGGGGGAAATTGGAAAGTGAAGGGGATGCTTGTTTCAAACGGAACTGCAGCTGAGCGTTTGACGGAAGGTGTCCCACAGTAAGTTCATTCATATTTTATGGCAAGGAAGTCCAGGTTCTGTGCCAGGAAAACTGATTGATTGCTCACCCTTTGAGCAAACATGCTCACAGAGCGAGTAGAAAGACCAGTGTGCATAGCAGATGGTGTGATAAGATTCTGTAGTTCCAAACTGGAGCAAGTCGGATTTAAAATACTTTAAGTGGTGGCCAATCCTAATGACAATCCAAGCATTGCTGCAGTTAAGAGGACGCACTGCTTCTGATGTGTTGATTGCAGGGAATAAGAAACATGAAAATATATATCTTTCTTTTCCCTTTCCCTTTCCCTTTCCCTTTCCCTTTTCCTTTCCCTTTCCCTTTCCTTCCTTCCTTCCTTCCTTTGAGCCAAATTCTTGCCTTAGATGTTTAGGAGCATGTGAATTTTGGTTTCAGGAGAAATTCTGTGCCACGTATTGGCTGGCATACTTTACCAGCTGAAATTATTCTATCAAAAGCATTGTTTCATCTGTTTCTAGCTTAAAGGCAATTTTTCCGTACTTTGTCTCTGCATCTGTTCTGTTGGTATCACAACATGGTGATGAGGCCGTTGACCTTTCAGTACCAGTACCCTGTCGCTTTTCCACTGACGGGCACTTCTGATAAGTCCAGGGTCTTGTAAACTTCTTTGAAATGTAATATCGGTGGGTGGGGAGGATATGGCAGGAAGACTTGTGCTTCATCAAATCTTGGTGCAAGCTTCAAAACTTGTACTAAACTTCAGCTTAGATAAAGCTGCATAAGAGTCTGCTAGCATTTTGACTCATAACAAAGGAATGCTAATCTTTAATGCATCATCAGCACCATTTAATGGAAAATACTAGTCCCTCCTCGCAGTTCTCTAGCTGCAGAGGGACATCTCAGAGTTCATTCTACAGTTGATCTCTGATTTGCCTGCCTCATGCTGGGCGGGCTCTACCAGAAGACTGGCAAGGAGGTAGTATGGTTACCTAATATTCAACAGGTAGTATGGCTACCTAATATTCCTAGTGTCCAGAAACCAGGATAGTTTCTGAGCAATGCCAAGCCTGACCCAGGAAGGGGCATCGGAGCCTGTGGTTATGCAAGGAACTACATAAAATCAAGAGGCATTGGCTTTTGCTTTCAGCTTGGAGTGAGGCATTGACACATCATGTCCAAGCAATGCTAGAGGCCCTGGGGGCACCCCTTGGTCTGCTTAGGGAACCAATATGGCCACAGATAAGAGAAGTTTAAGCTTTCTTTTGCTCTTTTATTCTCCAAATTCCTATTTCATTTGTGCATTTAGTAAACTGCATTTTTTTTCTGACATGGGTGGTTTTATTTCTTCCTACGTATGTTCAATTCTAAGGTGAGGTGCCTTGGCTGGACCAGGCCCCTGGGGACTGATGTAGAAGCAAAGGGGGGTGTGTGTGTGTGTGTGTGTGTGTGTGTGTGTCTTCTTTCTCTCTCGTTGGATGCATTCATTATTATATTTGCTATCTCATTGTCATTCCTTTCCCCCCAAAGGTTGAGGAAGTCAGAAAATACATAAGCAAAATAGCAGACATTGTGGAAGAAGTGAAGAAGAAGCACAGCATTATTCTTTCTGCCACACATCCCAAAGACAGTAAGCCTTTCCTCTTTCAGACCTTTAAAACACACGGCAGCTGGACTTGCATGATGGCGCATCACTGCAGGTTCTTAACACACGAAGCTGGCACAGTCACCACCTTCGGTGCAAGGCGCCCCTACCTTGTAGGACTCCAGGTGCTGATTCCACCTTGACTGGCTTAAGGGTCCATGTCCTGTCCCTGCCCCAGCTGTCCCCTGCACAGGTGGCTCTGTGCTTCCAAAAGCGTCGACCTGCCTCGCCGGAGTGATCAGGAGCATGGTTCTTCACGGGCCTGGCTCCCCTCGGGCCTGTTGTTGTGGCTGTTGTCAGAAGAATCCCCCAGATTCTAGTTGGTGCCTGCTCTGTGACGGTGCCCACAGAGTTCTCATAGATACTGTATTCGCGTGATGTTTCTCCATGCATGCATCTTTAGGGGAACCACTGCAAAAGACTCATGATGGAGGAATACATTATGCCTTGAAACAGAGACTCTGGCCTGCCAGTGAGTCCACTTACTTACGGTCCACGACTCTGGGCCAGTTACATGTGCCACACAATCAGGTGACAATGCCTTAACACTCTGCAGGTGGTGGTGGGGGGTTGCATCTCTGAATGCCCCCTTTTTAAAACAAAACAAACCATCTCCTAGCTAGACACACCTGCACAGGCTGTCAGGAAGAAAGGTAACTCCCCTGGGGAAGGCAGAGCCATTTTGGAGAAGACCCAGGGCTTAGGGAAAGGTTGGTAATGTGTTTTGGGCTGCCTGATGAATTTTACTTCAGACTGAGAATGCCAAGCCTTATCAGATGGCCTTCTTTTGGGCTGGGGCAGCCACTGGTTGTTTTCCATGTTGCGTGCATGTTTTGCACCATGTGGCATCTTTTGACCAAACCCTTCCAATCCAGTTCAGTCCAGAGCCCAGCTAACTCAAACAACTTGAATTTCAGCCAGACAGATTCCACCAACACGCTAGAAATTTATTCCACTGACATCACCAAGGCTTATTTCCAACCAGGTATCCTTAGGAAGATGGCCGAAGCCTCAGAACCTTGGCCTAAATGTTATGCACAAGGCTTTTAAAATATCCACTTGTTTTCTCAAACAGTTGTGATCATGAGCTAATTTTAGCTTTCTGCTCTTAGACTGATGTATAGAGTGAACTAAATACAGTATAGAGTATTATCTAGAGGGATGCGAAGCGGTGCTTGGCACAGTTGTTTGGCTGAGGGTGGGGTGGGGACAATGAAAGCGCCAATATATAGAGCATTGTTTTATAAGAAATGTTTTGAAGTTGAATCAGACATTTGCAGCCATGGGAAATGTCAGCAGCTCCCAGCTTACATCTATAGCCCATCCCGGAAGGGAGTGAGATGCTGACTGCAGTGACAATATTTCCACACTTAGAAAATGCCAAAAATGCTTTACATGCTGCACAGAGATGCAATGCACTGTGATTTTTTTAAAGGACAGTCATTACTTGGAAGCTCCCTATTTTATAGTCACGAGGCACAGAGAAGGAGGAATGGGAAGGGCTGAGCAAAGGAAGGGAGCAAAGCAGAGCAAAAAGCAAAGCAAAGCAAAGCATGAAGTGTCAGCCTGGCCTGGCCTACACAGGTGGGTCTCCTTGGCTCTCCTGTGCTCCACCGGTCCTGAGTTCTCCAGCCAGTGGCAGAGGCCAAAAGTGCACCTCTGGTGTTCCTGGACAACCGGCTAACAGAACAGCTGCTAAATTCCTGGCCCCAAGTGGGAGAACAAACTCCCTTGCTCTGCCTCTGCCTGGTGGATGGGAGTGAGGCTGGATGGGGCCCTCACTCTGATTCTCGGCACGTGGGGCAGGACTGGTGGCCCTCTGGATCATTCGGAGGTGCAGTTCAACCATGTAGACAATACATGACTGAAAAATCCATTTCAGTCATTCGGAACCTTCACGGAGCGCTTCCTCTTGACCTCAGTGCAGACAGCTGCCTCGCGGGAATCGCCTGCCAAACCTAACTTGCTGATCCGGGGGGGGGGGGGCAGGATGTTCCCTGATGAGGGCCATAATTAGACTTGCTTGAGCATCGGGTCCGTTGCTACTTCTGCTTTTGCTCTTCATGCATGTAGAAGCTGCCAACTCTAGACCTGAAATACTGGGGATAAGTTCCCAGGCACTCTCCTCTGGGCAGGGCCTGCTGGCTGGGCTGCTGAAGACGTGGCTTGCCAGTGGCCTGACGCTGCACTGGCAGATGGCAGTGCCATCCTGGGCACGTCTGCCGCTCCCTTGATTCCTTGGCCTCGCAGGGCGGTGTTCTGCCCGTTCTGGGGCCTCTGCTCCATCAGGCTGGGAAGTTGTCCCTCTCTGGAAGCCCTGCCACTCTCTCGCTCGCACATGCCATTCTGTCGGGTGGAAGGGGAGGGACGGGGAACTAGCTGTTGCTTTCCTGCGCTGTCACGTCGTCTCCAGCTTCTCCAGCGCTATTTCAAAACGGTCATTTCTCATCATCAGCTCAAGCCTGTGTTTCAAATCCTTGCTCTTTCAGAAACGAAGGAAGAGCTTGAAGAACTGAACAAAGAAATCAGGAAAACTGCAAATATAGTTCGGGCTAAATTGAAAGGCAAGTAACGGAGAGTGCAACCCTATAACCGCTAGGCTGTGCCTGGCTGGGTGGCCTTCAGAAGCCTTTGCAGTGGGGCTGTGGAACCGCTCCAGCCCAGGGCCAAATGCCATTCGCTAGTAATGTATAAGATCAAGTTCTTGACTGTGTTTTATTCTTGTAACAAGAACTTTAAAAAAATGTAGGTCTGTCTGGGGTAGGGAATGGGGGGTAGCTACTGTGTGCCATCTGAGGTGCTTTCCTCTCTTTTGCAGCCATAGAACAAAGTTTGGGCCGAGACGAGAATGTCAATCGAACTTCAGCAGATCACAGAATACGAAAATCACAGGTAAGGTGCAGCAAGAAAAGCCTCTTGTAACCGCACGGTTACATACAGGTGGCTAAGATAAGCACAGCTTCTGAATGGGAAGATGTTTCAGACACCCCAGGGTAGGCGCGAGAGAGGAACCGTGGCCTCGATCCATTTTGGGGGATCTTGTATGAAAAGCAGACGTGTTCACAGACTTGTGCCCACAGCGACCGAGAGAGCAGAGAGCTGTACGTAAATTCTGAGAACACACATGCCTCCCCCTCAGAAGAAGCATGGAAACATTGTGAGGGAGGCACAAATTCACTTGGGTTTTCCTTCCTTCCTTCTTTGTAGAATATCCTAAGTGGCTTAAAGACCATCTGCCAAATATGACAGCTCAGCCCATATTTCTCTGAGCACAGAATTAAGCAAAAGGCTGGGGTGAAGCAAACGCTTGACCTAGTTGAGCTTTTTTGCCTGTCCAGCAAAATTGTCTTGGAGGGCCAGGGAAAGGGCAAGAAAGACCTCAAAAGAGCCTGCAACTCGGCCTCACCAGTCTCCTCCCCTCTCTGCCCCCTTCAGCCCTCTGCAGGATTGCAGGAAGAATTTTCTGTGCTGGCTGCAAGAGGGATTGGGGGCCAGAGCTCTGATGGCCCCCTCTGAGCTCAGAGGGGTGTTTCCAGCCGTGGAGCTGGGAAGCCAAATATCTTGGGGTCCCCCCTGCTATCTAGGGGCTTCTCTCCGTAGCTTAAAAAGAGGACCCAGCGTAACTTGGCATAATACGTTTGCTTCTATTCCTAGCACTCGGTGTTGGCGCGGAAGTTTGTGGAAGTCATGTCCACGTATAATGGAACCCAGACTGTCTTTCGAGAGCGCACCAAAGATCAGATACGCCGGCAGCTAGAAATCAGTAAGCCACCACACACCCTTTATGGTTTTTCTGGTTGACAAAAAGACTGAGCTGAGCAATCGGTATAAATGTTTTGAATTCACATTCTTCTGTAATCCACGCCTCAAACCCCACCTTGTCCTCTTCAGAACTTACATGTCCCGGATCTCAGAATTACGCTGCTTGCCCATTACGATGGTTACTCAGTAGAGTGGGAGCTGAACAGAGTTGTGGTTGTGGTTGTTGCTGCTGTTACGAAGTAGACACCTATAGATACACAACCTGTGTGAGAGCAGCAGGTGGATTCTTCTCTTGTAACTGGCAACAGTTCAGGCCCTTTTCTCCAGACGATACAGACAGACAGAGTCCAGGCTCCAGGCTCTGCCTCCAGAAAGAGCTGCATGTGCACCATCGGGTCCTTTTCCCAACGGACGTCTGACACTTGGGAATTCAAAATATATTTCTTGATTTTTTTTTCCCCGTTAGCCAACTGGAGTGCTTAGAATTTCTCGAGAACACAGAGGCTCCTATAAGGTCAGGACAATTTTTGATAGGAAGATAGGACACTTCTAAGAACCATCTGCTTGGGACTCCACTGAAGGAGTATAGCCCTGTTTCTTATTTTAAAGCTTGATCCTGCATCCCTCTTGCAATGGGGAAGAGTGCCTGATGTTTCATGCCTGATACTGGCATAAATTATTTGATATTTTATGCAGCTTTTATTTATCTGAATGCCTTGCTCAGTGGTCAGATCTCACAAAAATTACTTTAGGCTATCTGGTGGCCGCCTCACCAGCGCTGGCCCTTCTTACAACAGTTACTTCCCAAACTGGGTCAACCTATAAGCATCTGTAACATAGGAAGTGGTTTCTACATTTAAATTATTTGTATCCTGGCTTTCAGCCTAGGTGAGAAACAGAAGGTGGTATTAGCATGCTCATAAAAGAAGCTTACATCCAATCCAGTTACCCTGTTTCAGTAAACAATGACCTCTCACCCTCCTTCCTTTTCCCAGTCATTTTAAAATAGCCCCTGAATTGTTACCCTGGATTAAGTGGCCTTGGTCTGTTGTCAGTTGTCAGATAAGTTAAGCTGCTCCTAGCCACCTGTCTGTGATAGTGAAGTAGTTCTGAGCTCTCGCCTAGGTTGTTATAAAATTTGCAATGCTAATATGTCGGACCCTCGTGCAACAACGATACGTTTTTCCCTCGTAGCAGAATCTGTCCACTTGAATATAAAGCAGATGCCCTGTTCTGTTTAGCAAAGTAGTTTAAGATGAATCATCTCCCCACACTGCCATTTACTAACGGTAGGAGGCAGGCATTCCATTGCTGCTTTCAGATTTCTAGCAAAGCCGTTATTATGCACTGTGTAATAAACAGATGTCTGTAATTTTTTTGCTAGCTGGAAAAACCACAACTGATGAAGAACTGGAAGAAATGTTAGAAAGTGGCAATCTTTCTATTTTCACTTCTGACGTAAGTATTTCAAGTTTATTTTTGCTGCCCTTATTTGTGTAGGATGTAGTGATTGAAAGAAAGGCACTGTGAAATATAAAACAGAATTAAGAACAACCAACCAGCAGAGTTCCAATCAAAGAGCACGTGTTATTTCTGTAATCAACAGACAGAAGATTCCTGTTCATTTAATGTCCGTTCCCTCTTTCTTATTCACTAAAGATTATTTTGGACACCAAAATTACGAGAGAAGCTCTTGATGAAATTGAGTCACGTCACAAAGATATTATAAAACTGGAATCCAGTATACAGGAGCTGCATGAGATGTTTATGGACATGGCAATGCTTGTTGAAGTTCAGGTAGGTGACCCGATGTTACCATTTTTTGGTTAGGGCATCTAGTTGGAGCCATACTGGGATTCATTTGCTTGTGCCTTCAGAGACACCACTAAAAGCCACACCCCAATAATCTCTGTGTTGGGCTGGTAGCTTTTTTTTTTTAAACAGTATTTAGAAAACCCTCCAAAGTCTGAGGGTGGCAAGTTGCTCCAACTGTGCAGCACTCCCAAGCTAGGGAGATAAAGCAAGGTGAGTGCTTCTCCGCGGGCAAGGGGATCTGCTTATTTTGCAGGCTAGTTTTCATGTATTTTTGAGGGAAGTGCAGTAGAACAGTGGAGTAAATAACTCCGGAACAGTCGTGTTTTCAAAATGCAGTACATTTCTCAGTAGTGTGATTTCTGGCATGTTTAAAGAAAGATTCTGTACTTTTCACGACGAACACTTGTGCCACAACCCAATACTCAATTCCATTTTACTTCGCTGTCCCCACCAACATCCTGGCTGCCTTGAAGTTACAAAATTGAGCATGTGTGGCTATTTTTATTATGTACAAGTGTGAATTCGTTTCCTATGATGAGCTGAATTAAGATGCAACTTTTAAAAGGGATGTTAGTTCTGAATCTCCATGTGATCGGCTATTTTGGTGGGATGGGGCTTTTCAACTTACTAGTTCCTGTGGAGGGCGGGTGGATTTTTAGCCATGAAGAAATGAACATTGCATGAACTTCTTTAACATTTGCTGTTTATTGTTGCCGATACTGTCTGCCGATGGACAGAACCACACAGGTAACACACCTTCTGCAATATTCCCATTTTCCCCATGTCATTCCCCAAGCCGGTTCATCAACCCATTACGGCACTGCGCACTGGCATTCTAATAGGATGCATTTGAGTCACCAACCAGGGACTGCCCTTCCTTCATATTCTGGTCCAGTTGCCCATGGCAGTTCGAGTTCAGGACTAAAGTAGGATATCCAAATGAATCCAAATCCCATGAACCAAGTGGCTTGGAATGGCAGCTGATGCCCTTGTGGAGAGTCCTGCTCCTCCGTGGGGTGATGGCCCCATGTGGTCTGGTTGACCCAGTTCCGTAGCACCGCAGACAAAGCTGTCCCATGGCACTGAACACCCAAAGCCACCCGGGAGCGGCAATGGACTCCCCTGAGAACATCACGTGCGAAGGCAAGCAGAGAGGCGGCTCATCCCGTCGGCACGCTCATTGCCACATGCTTTCCTTGAGTGCAAGGAGACTGCTGCAAGCAGGGAGCGCTGGTGGTCCCTTGGCGGGGAGGAAGGGAGACACACGCAGGAGCAGTTCTGCAAGGGGGTTGCAAGGGGTTGCAGGGCGAGCAAGCTAAGAGCAGTAACTGCATGGCCTCTCAGGGGACCTGCTGCTCCAGAGGGCTGCCCTTTGTTCAGGAGCAAGGGAAATGCATCCACTTGCAGGAGCAAAGCTGGCTGCCGGCTCCTCTCTGCGGGCAGTTGGTGGCTTAAAGCCCCTTCACTGCGGCACGTGAGGCAGATAAAATCCTGATGGCAGCACCAGGCTGAGGATCCAAACTGCATCCTGGTGGATGGGCAAGACAAAAGACTTCATTGTGGCGTCACCCCTATTAGAATGCCAGTCTGAAGCAACCTCGTTAAAGTACCTCTCATTTTTGTAGTTATGTTTCCTATTTTCAGTATTATTCCCAGCCCTCCCCTGCCTGCTGATGTGATTTCCCTGTCTCTTAGGTTCAGCATCAGATGTTTAAAACAAAAATGCAACTTTTCTGAAAAATGTGAATGCTGTCACAAAAGAAAAGTCATCTTTGCATAATCCTTGCTCTAAAATTTCAAGCACCCTTCTTTCCATTCTCGATCATGCAAATGATTCCAGAGGAAAATTCCGTCCGTGGTATAACTCTGCTTCTCTGTGTGCTCTTGATTCTAATGTTTAAGGGTGAAATGGTCAACAGCATAGAGAAGAATGTGATGAATGCAGCCGATTATGTAGAACATGCGAAAGAAGAGACCAAAAAAGCAGTTAAATATCAAAGCAAAGCACGCAGGGTAAGTTTTTGGCTTTGTGAAGGCAGCTCGCTTCATTGGGTATGGCTTCGTGCAGGCAGACTATTTGCCGAACATCCAGACAAAATATAAGAGCTGAGGTTGTTACAATGGCATGTTCGCAGTACTTTCTCCATAAACCTCCAAACAACTATTCCAGAAAAGGAATGGTTTGATGAATATACATAGTCTTAATACAAGGTGGTGATCATACTGCATTTATATCCAGACTTTTTTCTTCTTGTGTATCCTTACAACAATCTGGTAAGGTAGGTTGTGCTGAGAATGAGCAACTGGCCCCAACTCATCCAGTGAGCTTCATGGCTGAGCAGGGACTCGAACCAAGATCTCCGATATATAATATAATATAATATAATATAATATAATATAATATAATATAATATAATATATATTATAAAATAAAATATTGGGGCAGATCAGAGGGTGGAGTTTGTGGGTTGTACAAACCATTCTCCTTTCAGCTGAAATGTTGAAATACCAGTAGTACATTAGATGATTCAGACTGGATGAGCAAAGCTTTCTAATTTTTTAAAGGCAGCAACAGCCAAAAAGCCTTTTTGTTCTTTCAGTCAGTTTTAGAATTCCCAGTCAGAGGTAGCTGAAATAGACAGTTTTAAGTGTATTTGCAGTTCATCCCAGGGTGTGAGGTGCAGCCAATCAGTAGCTTCATGCCTTGCACATTTGGCCACATCCCACCGACCCTGTTTTGTACCCGCCTCTGATTGGCGGACATCAAGATGCAAGTAAAACTCTGCCAGCAGCAAAATATATTGTACAAACAGCACAACTATCCGGTTGATACCATGCTGACTTTCACATGAGGTGACAGAACAGTTACTCAACATCATTAACTGCACTTTTGTTTGTGTTTTGCTTTCCTTTGCCATTTCCTTTGTGTTTTGCTTCCCTTTGGCAGAAAAAGTGGATAATTCTCATGATAGTGTTTGTGCTGCTTGCTGTTCTTGCTGTAATAATTGGCTTGTCAGTGGGGATTCGGTGATGCTCCGCTAGCTTCAGCGTGCCTCTCACTCTCTTGTCATGCAGTAAGTACTAATCGACTAACTCGCCTTCCATGCTAACCCGCGTCCGTCAGGGATCCACGCAATGTGGCCATGACTTAAGAGGGTTTGCCAAACCAGCAGGTTGCTTTCGACAGCCACAGAAGCATTTCAGAAGTCATGTCTCCCGCGAGAACTGAGACACCTAGTGGCTAGCAGCTCCGATGTGTCTGGACTCTTGCATTTGATTGGGATGGCGTGATGCCCACTTGAATTAGATTCCCTCTGTCTGACTTGCCCTTGAGTTGGTGTAGAAGCATGCAGACATGAAGCTTTATATGGAATGCTGTTTTTTACATAGAACAGTGCTATGATATGCTAAAGCTATTGTGTGTTTGATGTGTGTGTGGATATAATACACACATTCGATCTCTTTAAACGTATAAGAGGTTGGATGGGTCGTGTCTAAGGGTCATTCCCATTTCCCTCTCCAAGATCCCCTGTTCTCAGACTGCTGAGGAGCTGTCAGCCAAGACTGGCTTTCTTTCAGGTTATCAATGTTCCCGTGCACAAACGTCTCTGCTTCTTTTGGCTTCTCTGGGCCAGCAAATTACCCCGGCGATGCCCCACTCACTTCTGTCCCAGCAGACATGATCTTTCTCAAAATTTAGGGCAGAACCCAGTCTCTCTTATTCCCATTGGTCTGTAATGCACCACATAAGCCGATGGAGCTGTATAAAACAAAACAGGAAGAACGCTCAGCCCCATTCTGTCAAACTCAGCTCTGTTGGACCTTCTAATGCGGGATGCCCCACCGCAGTGTAAGGCCAAAATCGTCAGAATTGCAGTTCTTAAAACCTGAAGGACTGAAAAGTCCAAGTGACAAAGTGTCCAAGTGTAACACCCCTGAGTCCAGAGCATGGGAACCTGGAATGCCTCTCTGGATTGCTCCCACTGAAGAGTCTCTGCCTGCCCCACCCACCCACCCTGCCTCACCTACTTTGAGGGTGGAGAAATGCAGCTCTATTTGGGAGGAGAGGATCCTTGAATGCTTTAATCCTTATTTTTACTCAAAGTGATTTCTACTGAAACGTTCACTTGCAGGTGGGCAGGGCATGTTCGGTTCTTGTATCTCTACAATGTTGCTCTTCCTTCTTTCATTTAACATTTGAGGATAAGCTAATCATCTTTTTTCTTTCTTTCCAGAAACTGTTGTTCATAATAATTTGTGTCTCTATCTTGATTATAATCATTGGGATTGTTCTGGCAGCAACCTTCTCCTAGCAGTCCTCACCTTTCAGGAGTCTGGATGCTTCTGGGTCCCGTGCAAGGAAACCAAACAGCCTAGTTCTTGTCAAGATATAACTCTCTTGCCGTAATGAGATTTCCTTTCTCAAGATTGGCCAGTCGTTAACCACTTAAATAACCAGTAGCACGTCATGTTTCGATACCTGCATATCTGAACCAAACTTGTAACACACACGGTTTTTCCTCCCAAAAGCTGGAAAACCCATCTAAAAGATTTAACTTATAAGCTGCTAAAAATAAATACACTGTGTGCTAACTATTTTGGAAATGAATTCTACCTCTTGATATACCAGTGTTACTGGCATGGAATTAGGGGAATTCATTGCCAGAAACATAAAGAGTTTGCAGTGTGACTTTGTTTTCCATTATGAATTCATCTTGTTTAAATTTAAGCAGCCACATTCATCAAATAACCATTTGACGGCAATCCTAAATGCGCTTACATTGGAGGTAGATTCTATGGAAATAATTGAATTTACTTTTAAGTAAATATGATTAAGCTTGAGATGTGACTTCACATGCTCCTGTCTCCTGTTTTAGGAATTTAAATGTCTTAAAATATAAATCTTAAAATGCATATTATCAATAAACAAAGTAAACATATGTTTTTAATAGACACAAGGCATCCAGGTAGAAATTGAAGTGCTTTTTAATAGCAGTGACTTCATGAATTGTTCTTAAGTCTTAAACACTACTGTGAATTGCATTCCTCCGCTTGTTGATTAACACTGGCCTGGTTTGTCCCGAACGCTGAGGTGGGATTTAGCACTTCACGCCTGAGCTGGAACAAACATAAATGAAGACTCGGGCCTGTATACAGCCCATTCTCTTCCTACATGGCTGGATGGAGAGCCATTCATTTGGACCATCAAAGGTTTGTTCCCTCTTGTGCACGGCCTGCCATGCTGTTCTGCACAAACCAGGCAATAATGTCCTTTCTTTGTTCGAAAGAACTTACACTCCACTGTAAAGTTTGCTAAGCGCGGCTGTTACGTTGCCCCGTCCCGCTCAGATGTGACTTATAGTGCTTGAAGGGCTCCAGACGTGCTGAGATGCGTGGGAAAGTGCTCCTTTGCACCTAGAATGAATGTCTGCCACCTCCCGCATCCATCCATGCCCACCTCGATGGAGACACGAGCTTGGCGCACCTCTTTCGCCTCCTCCGTTAGAGTCGATGTAGAAGCTTTTCCTTGTGGGACCAATCTGGGCGTGCAGTTGAGCTCCCACTGGCCTGCCAAGGGTCCCTTGTGCAACTCTGTTTGGGCCGTAGCCAGCACTGCCACTCTGCCTTCACTGGTTCTGCTGAGCTTCCTGCTTGTGGAACCGGGAATTCGTAGCAATCCTATAAACGAGCAGAAATGCTCATTTCTAGGCTGGCGCTGGTCAGCAGAGCAAACATCTGTGGCTCACGACTGCTCTGCCTCGCTCCAGAATCGAGCATTTCTACTTATCTTGGGGTGCTTTGAGAACCTCTACATCTCTACTGCACTAAGCAACAGATCTAGCTAAGGGACAGCACTGGGCAGACCGAGAAGATGCTTGCGATTAAATTGTGATAAAGATGCAAATGTACAAGTCTTTAAGCTTGAACTAATTTTCGAGTACTTCTAATTGGTCAGGAACTCAAAGGCGCAGATCAGATCTACATTGCAATATTAGCTACAGTGTAACAAGCCATTATTTCCTCTTCCCCAAGGAGCAAAAAGCAAAGTTTTGTTTCTTTAAATTCATATCTGGTCTTTGGTGAACAGGGAATGATTCAGAGGAGCAGGCAGCTTTGCAATCCATTTTAGAAAATGTTTTTATCTTAAATAGGACACTGATTTTGTTGGGAAATTTTGCCTCATTTAATTTCCGAAACATGAATGAAGTGTTCTCAGTGGCAATGGCCATCATCCAAAGAACATTATTCTGTCCACTGAAGTCCCACCGTGATGGATAGGTTGTCCCCAATACAATATCCCACTGTTAGCAACTTTTAAGCATTTCAGAAATAACCAAAACCGTTTTAATTTTGTGTTGCTGTTTAGTTATTGTATGGTGCTGTTATTATGTAAAATACATGTAACTATATTTTGATTATCTATTGTTTAAATATTAATGTAAATATTTATGCTGGAAGCAAAATAAAATATGTGTCCTTTTTTCTTTTTTGTTTTTACAAAATATGAGCCTTGAAATGTTTGTGTTTTTATTTAAAAACATACAGTTGCAAGTATATTTTACTTCAATCTGGGCTTGAAAGACATGTTTTTTTATGTTTGGCATTCATGTAATGGCTGCAACAGTAGCTTTAATAACTGTCATTTCAAAGCACTGAACTATTTTGAAATTTTGAAGGGTTGTAAATGTCCCATAGAAAATGTTTCCAACAGTTCACCCTGAAAATACATAGACCTGTAAATATCAGCACTTCAAGTATCTTTCTTGCCTGAAAGTTTCTTGATTAAAAAACGAAGTACCCTGTATCAGCAGAGCATCAGGGTGAATAGGTCACATTTTGCAATCTCACTACATTTTGCAATCTCCTGTCACGTTTTCTGTTAAGCTATTTAAGTCACTGTACCTACATGACAGCACAATATTTTGGCCTTCAAGATGTGTGTGCACACATGCATGTACCCAGAGTCCATTTACTAAAGGCTAACGCAAAAAATCATACTTTATAATAAACTTTTTACAACACCATATTTGTTTTATTGAATTTCCAGAATCCATTCTTGTTACCAAAAGGGAAAACGGGGAACATGGCATCTTCACAGCTTTTCCTAATGCGGTGTTCTCCGGATGTGTTGATCCAACTGATCTGGCCAGAAAATGCCACAGACCCATGGACTAGGACTGTTGGAAGGAGCCTAGAAGGCCATCAAGTCCAGTCCCTGCTGGCGCACGACACCATGTTACACCATCCCACTCAGATGACTGTCCAGTTGCGCGTTGAATGCCTCCAGGGTGGGAGAGCCCATGACCTCCTTCGGTCATCGGTCACATGGTTGTACTGCTCTGACCGGCAGGAACCTGCCATGATGTAGCTTGAGCCCTTCCTCAAGACTAAACCTGCCCCGTTCTTTCAGTCTCTCCTTATAGTGCTTTGATTCCAGTCCCCAGATCATCCTCTGAATCCTTTCCAGCTTTTCTGTGTCATTCTCAAACTGTGGTGCCCAGACTGGGGCACAGCACTCCAGATGAGGTCTGATTAGCACTGTGTAAAGGGTGACAAGTACATTTTCTGCTGTACTTTATTCTCTTCCTGCATCTGCTTCCAATGCTGCACAGAGCGTACACATTTGCCATTCTTAAAGTATGGCCATAACTTAGAGGCTATTGCAGGAAGCAATGGGGAAGTCGTACCTCACGGGCCTATGCACAGGTAAAATGGAATCAATCTCTCCTTTATTTAACTTCCATATCACCCAATAGCCAATGCTTTTTGTGTGGTTTGCAACCATACCTAAGCAGACCTGTGGCCCAATAAAATGCCTTCAATTTTTTCATAACATTCACATTTTAAAAGTTTCATTTCTTTAAAAAGGTAAGCAGACAAAACAGCACTTAAATAAAGGATATACCTGTTAAAAGTGAGCTTTTCTGACCATCTGTTCACTCATTTGTTTAACTGCTTTACGGGGGGAACGGACGGAAAGATACGCCTTTTCCCATTTTTGCTTTCGACAAAAATGGGGAAAAAATATGATCATCCCAGGAATGTTGCTCAGCCCACAGCCCATCTGAATGCCCTTTGGTACGTCCTCGTGACTCATATGTCTTGCTAAATATAACCATGGCACCCATCCTCAGACGCAGGCTGGCCGGTCACTCTGCACCTGTGAAGCAACATAAGCCATTGCTTTGCAGTTTACACAACCATCCGTTGCGATTTCTATTTTGGTAAAGCAATGCTATCGAGCCCAGCTGATGGGGGTAAAGGCAGACAGAGAAATCCCAGAAATTGAGCAAAGGCTCAGATAGTCCAAGTGTACAGGTGTTTAGTGGATTCATAACTCATCTTGGCCAAGTGCTGGAGAAGGAAATGGAAAAGGTAAGTTGCATTGTTTCCCTGTTCTGGGGGGAAAGACGTGTGTGGCCTTGTGATGGGCCTGCGCTTTTGAACTGTCAGTGACAGATGGTTCAGCCGGTGCCTCTTTGATTTGGAGGAAAGCAAAGCACACTTCTTGCACTGCATCAACCGGCGACACAAAATCTGAGTGCACCGTGCAACTCAATATCAAAACAATTACTCTGTGGGTTGCGACGTTGCCTCGCTACACCTTCGGCTGCATTCATGCACCCACTTAGCTGAAATCAAAGGTGCTTGAATTGCAGGAGAGTTTTCAAGGATTGTAAAAGGAAAGAAAGGCGGGTGGGTCGCCTTTGAGCTACCGTCAATGAGAACAAGGGACACAATTTGCTTTTGCTGCCCTTTATCTCTCCCTTCTATTTCTGACCCACTCTGTCAACATGCAGCCTGCAAGGTCTTTGTGTGCAGCAAGCCAGAGCGGTGGGGCAGGCAGTGGCGCAGGCAAGGCTGAACTGGAAGCCAGAATTCAGAGGACACGTCCTGTGGCTTCCCACTACTGCCGGCTGCCAGAGTTGGGAGCTGGACTGGGAGCCCTCACTTCTGCATTTCTCCCTTTCCGTTCCTAGGCCTGGCCAAACATGAAGCCTTCTGTGCTGACCTCCCTTTGCAAGGAGCCACAGGGTCTGAAGAGGGCTCTGAGGCCTGGACTAGCTTGGGTTTGACAGTGGTGCCAGACAGCATGTTGTAAGTGGGTCAGAAGGTTTACGAGGACAAGGTGCTCCCAGGCAGGACTTGCCACGCAGCCTCATTCCTCCAACTTGATGGCATTTATCCGCCTCTTCCATCTTGTTTCCTCCTGGCTGTAGAAAA